AATTAAGAATTAAGCAGGAAGTTTCTGAAATAGAAGAAGGAGATGAGGGTGATGTTGATGTGCCCCAATTACATTTTCCAAGCACTTCAGATGGAGATTTAACTCTTCAGCCCTCTGCAACATTACGTACCGGTTTTGAGATGTTGCATAGTCTTGAACGACAGCAGTAAGTGCAATAATATCTTATTTTCCTCTCTGTCTCTATGGTCTTCAAGAATATTTTGACAATGATTCTTCTCTGGCAGGTTACTTGAAGAAGATGAAGAGTATAAGGAAGATATGCCTGATATAAAAATTGAGCCAGCAGTTGTTGAGTCCATCCCTAGCAGTACAAGCTCACACCCTTCCAAAAGGGTGCGACGCATCTAATGCAGATCTTGTTAGGTTATCTAATTTATTTTTAAAGGTTAATCCCTCTGGCAATTACCCAAAATTGTTTAATTGTTCCTGTAATCAAATTTGTTTTTCTTGTTGATCTGTTATTTGTATGGTATTTGAAGAAATCTAGGCATTTTAATAAAAATGTTGCCATTGAACACTTTTTGAACATTTGTGTTATTTATGTACGTGAAACAATAAAATGTGTTCCCTCACGACAAGTGGTTGGAATTTCCCCCATTAATACCAACTACTTGGTCGGGGGAGAGGAGGGGAGGGGTGGGGGGGAATTCCCGTCTGGTCACGGCGTCATGGCAAGGCAGCGCCCAATGGCGGCAGCGCCCGTCCCTCACCCTCTCCCGACCCACAGCGAAGTCGTGCCATTTTCACAGCATTTCGCGATACTGTAATCAGTCGTTGGGCACGTTTCTCCGGGAACAGAGTAGCTGCTCTAACTACTAACTGAGGACTGACTTCAACGCGAGGCCACGAAATCGAGCAGCTCTCGCCCTCTTAAAAATCGAGAAGGCAGTCTGTTGCGGAGGAACACAACTTCTCTCGGTTAACGAAGTTGGATAGCCAAGTGGTGTGGAAGTCTTCTTATTCTGTTTCAAGGTAAGAGTATGGTCCAGAAATATTTTGCCTTCTTACTCTAATACTTGTTTGTTTCCAGATGAGCAGCAAAAGTAGACTTATCTTTATAATTGTTGTTTGCATGGCAGTAAGATCATTTGCAATTGTTTGCACGCCAAACATATGTGACAATGTCCATTGCAGAATTGATGTAACAGCAGAAAATTGCTATGGGGTTTTTGAGCCAACTGGAGGGTTTTGTGGATGCTGCCCCCTCTGTGTAACAATAATACGTAAGAAATTAAACAATAAACTTAACTGATAAAGCTTTATTAGATTGAAAAGAATTAACCCTTTTTGGTATTTTTTTTGACAGCTGCTGGTGGAGGCTGTGTGGTCCTGAGAGGAGTACCACAATCTGCACGTTGCATAGAGAGTACTAGCTGTATTAATGGTACTTGCCAGCCATTACCTTCTTACAGTCCAAGTGAAGAATAAACATACCTAGCTGCCCAATTTACAAGAAATTTCTTTAAGTATACTGCTAAAATTGTAATTTAGAAGCAAGTCTAATAAAGACTGTTTTTGAAAGAAAAAAGAAACTTTTTCCTAGAACAAATCTTTCAATAACAGGTATGAATTCCAGTTCAGATGAACTAATAATGGGTCTCACATACTTCATCTTTAAGAAATCTTTAAAACTATAGGTACAGAATTATCACATATTCAGTCAAAAGAGAAAAAGTAACTTCACTCACGCATCTATTACCCCAATCTCCAATTATAGACAACTAGACAATAAATACCGCAGAAACAAAAGCAAGATTTGGATATGCAGTGTCTAAAATGGTTTTCAATAACATGTGGAAAAACAACAGAATAGGGTGAGGCTGAGTAGTAGTGTGGAGATGCTCTTGGAAACCATTTACTTTCTCTTATTCATGGCGGTCATCTGAACAAATCTAATGAAAAGGTTCATAATTGACATGTAAATGCCAGTGCTCCTGCAACAATGAACACAAAACATTAAAATGCATAGTTTTATCAATCTACCATTCTCACTGCAATCTTTCATGAAAAATTTACAGGGTGGTCACAACAACAGGATTCAAGTTTCCCGCCATTTATGTTTCTGACTTCTCTCTGACATTTCCAAAGGAGTAGAAACAAATAAATATTACTAGCCTCTTTTAAGGATATGAATGTTTCTTTTATAAGGCAGAGATATTAGCTGGCAGTCCATAACCTCCTCTTAAGCAAACTTGCATCATTCAATTCTTGCATGAAAGATTGGAGAAGTTCAAATAATACAGTAAAATACTTACGAATCAATGGGGTCAAACTGCACATAGTAGGGAACTCCCTGAGCATTCTTCATGAGGGACTGGGTTTGATATAGAAGCATCATTGAAAAGAGTAGTACTCCACCATATAAAGCAATTGAGTGCAAACTTGCTCCAGCCAAAGATGTAGGTGGCATAAACATGCTCCCTGCAAAAAACAAAATTGTTTGAAAACACTGAAAAAATTTATTATGTGATCAGGATGATAATTTGAACATCTTTCAGGCGTTACCACTGACCTAAGCATGAGGCAAAGACAACTCCAAAGCCAATACCCAAAGGTGCACCCATATTCAAAAACTTATCACTGGGTGCACAGACAGCTACTGTTGAGAGACCTCCTACGACACCAGCAGTCATACTGAAACAATTAATAGAAGTCAACAACCATCACACTAAAAAAGCCCATTTCTGAGAAAATTTCGTATACAGCATTATTTGGCAGAAGGCATCTGAAAATCACTCACATAGCTGCCCGGAGAAGAATGGGACCACCCAACATCATCAAAGGAGCAATCAGTCCACCAACTAAGCTACTGTGCACCATCCACATCATGTGTTTGGCTCCAAAACCAGGTTGGTATGGTATTGAATGTAAGGCAGTCCCAGCAGCAATCACCGCAACCATAGGCAGAATCATACCCTGAACAGCAAATTGATAATTAGTGATTAAATAGATTCCCTAATTTTTAATTATAAATGTGAGGGAACAGAAACAAACCATAAGGCCCTGGGCATTGAAGAACCTCAGAATGGTCGGTGATCTATAGATAGCAACTGTAGATGCAGCAGTAACACCAAGTGAACCAGCCACAAACAAGTATGTGTCTCGGACTCGTTCTCGGACATACTGGGGCCACAAACTGAAAAAATTCATTAGTGTAAGATACTTTATGACAAAAGAGGACGAAGGATGTGTTAGGTTTACTTACAGTGACTGTTCAACCACTCCAGCCTGAGAGGACAGGCCGAGACCATAATAAGCCAAGGCACCCAAGCCTACAACTGAAGCTCCAGCGATAGCTCCTTTGCCAACTATAAATGCTAAAAGACCACAAGGTAAGGTCAGGTTGAGATGTAAAGAAACCAAAAGTACAAAACAATGCAGATGAAGATAATCGTACAAAATAAAACATGGGTAAATAAGTGTATTGTACATACGGGTGTAGGTTGGGACTTTCTTGGCCACAGGAATTTCTGCTACACGAACCCTAGTCCTTGTTCGTGCACGGGCCTCATTTCCAAAGTATCGAGATATTCCTTGGTTTGGAGCCTGAACTTTGGAAACCAAAGTCTGTCGGGTGAACGGAGAACGGAGAAAACAGGCCCTTGCAGCCAACATGATGCCTACAAGAAATCATACAAAGTTTATGAAGGAGTATACCATGACATAAGTGTGTGACCACATGAACAAACTAATGATGCAATAAACCCTGAGTTGCAAAAATAAACCTATGTCAACAACAACCAAACTACTTATGTTATTAGTACGATTCTTTGACAATATTTCTAAAGACTCAAAAAAATAAAATAAAGTAGAGCAAATCTCAAACTAATACTAGACCAAACCTGTTCTTCAACAAAACATCTAACCTGGAAGAAAAGGTTTCCTAAACTTCCAGCAAAACTTCGAAAGTCAGTAAGAAAATGTGTAATGGATACGAACCTGATGACGCTGTCTCGCAGAAAAATTATTTCTCTCGGAGTATAATGGTTAAACACGGCGAATTTTCTCAATCAAAACACAACTAACGATGGCGTAATTTTGACTGAGATCGAAACGGGACGAAACCAACATACAGCGCAGGCGCAGACTCCCCTCCCTTTTTTTCTAGAAGGGTACTGAGTCACGTGGTCAAAAGAAGTATTCTTGTTTACCGACAGACGGCGCTGAAGCCCGTCGTCTGCTAGCAACGGCGGGATACTTGAAACGTAGCGCGGGCGCTACGAGGAAGGAGATCGGTTTTGCAGTACTTTACTCCCGGTAGCACAGTATGACAACTGGTCACGACGAATCGTCCAGTCGGCCGGAGTCAATGCCGCGTCCTGAGGTGGTCATGCTGATGCTGATGGGGATGGCGTTGAGCAGCTGACGACGCACCGGGCACTCCCGAAAGGCCGCGTGGTGGGGTCCTTTCGGAGGGCCACACCCATCAGACATGCATAAACTCGAACGATATCGGAGCTGAGTCGAAAATTCATGAAGTCGAGACGCTCCGCTCGCTCCGCTTCTCTCCCCGTACCCGCACAGTGGCAGCAGATGGGGTCGTGCCGCGGCCGCGGGCAGAACTCCACGGTGTGGGGCTCCCCGCAGCGCACGCAGCGGGGGATGTGCCGGCAGTGCCCCGCCACGTGCCAGAACCCCTGCTCAGCACATGCGGAGGGATGGAAAGTGGTCGGTGAGGTAAGGCTCGTGAGGGGCAACGCGGAGAGGAGAAGGGCTTCACCTGACAACGGTAGCACTGGAGCACGTCCACCGCGCCCCTGCCACCGCCCTCGGGGTGCTCGCCGGCACGGGGGCTCGGCGTCGGCGGCGACGTCGTCGTCCCGGTGACAGCGGCGTCGCGACGCCACCAGTACCCGGCGCCAGCGCGCTCGCTCACGGCGCGGAAGCGGACGGCGCCGAAGAAGTCGAGGCCATCCCTGAGGAGGGCGTTGGACTGGGCGACATCCTGGAGCTATAAGAGAGACGTTGTGGCGTTGGCACCTGCGGCATTTCGTCTGGTTCAAAGAGGCGGGGAGGCAGACCACACCTCCACGTGGACGAGGTGCCTGTGTCTCTCCACAGAGAGCGCCGAGATGCCCTGCTTTTGGAGGGCCGCCGTGATGTCCCGAACTGGGATTGCTCTCGGCACGTCTGGCAGCAGCACGGTCTGCTCCAGGGTGAACTTCGGAGCTGCGGGGTGCGAGACGGCCCCTCCCTCCCTTACCCAGGACTTACCCGCTTGCAGCCCACCAGCCTCGTGACGTGCACCGGCTCGCCCAGGAGGCCGGACAGGTCCGCGGTCAAGAGCCTCTCGGCATCCTCGGCGCAGGAGAGCGCGGCGACGACCCCGCACGCCGTGGGCTGCACTTGGAGGTGGCCGGCGAGCGCCAGCGGCCCCGCGGCCAAGGAGCTCACCCGCGCCGCCAACGCTAGCGGCGCCTCGGGGTCATCTGTCTGGTCGGGACGGGGGCATGTCATGCGTGCGCGTGGCGTTCCTTCGGGTCGCACGCGTCTTTGTGTGACCGACGATATTGAGAATAATTCGTAGGCAACAAACCCCGTCAGGCCCGCCCTGCGCGTCGGCTCGGCTCAGGTACAGCCACGCGGCCGGCTGGGCCGCCGGGTCCGCCGGGTCCGGCTTCCTCGACTCGGCTGCTGTTGGCCCAAGCCTCGCCTCCGTGACCCCGTTGCCTGCACGGCCGCCTCCCGGGTCTGTGGGCCAAGGTCAGAAGCATCCGTCGCCCTGCTCGCGAGAAGGGCCCACGAGTGCGTATGGGCTATGGTCGCTCCTAGAGGTGAGGGGCCCGGCCAGGCACACATCGCTCAGTGGGTCAGTCTGCTCCCCGCGGACAGATGAGCGTGACACGTGACGTGACATCGTTTTTTTCCTTAATGCCGCGGTCGCCTTCAACACGCGTCGGGTCGGACTCCCGAGCGGTGCGGTGTGATGTGTGGTCACCCCACCGGCTCCTTGTCTATCACACAGGCATGGTCGCCCCGTGGTGGTGGTTCCAAAGGCAGTGTTGAGAAAAGGGTCGTCCAAAAAGTATGTCCGTTTTTCATACGTCAAATTAAGGAAGCACGGCGCCTGCGAGACTCAGGGTAGGCCGTCCCGCAGTACACGCATGCACTGCTGGCAAGATGTTGCCTACATACCAGGCGCCATGAGAGCTTGCAGAGGCCGAACTCGGCAGGTTCTTAACGGCGAAAGACGGACGTACATTGTGGATGGTCCCAAAGAAAGAATTCCCACGAATGCACCCTATTGGACCGGGCGGTCTGCATCTACTCCCTGTCTAGTAGGCAAATTTCTATTCAGCGGTGCCGAGTGTTGACCTAGCAGGCAGGCGTAGATGAGGGAATTTGTTTGCCTACTCTGCCCCAAGGTCCCAAACCTTCCATATCTCTGGAAGTGCGGCGGGCTCGCGCTACGCCACGCCACGCCTGCCTCCTCCGGACCACTTTTCCGGGTCACTGCAGCCCGTTCCCGGTGATTTTCGCGACGCTGCGGAGCCTGTCTGCTCCGGGGGCCATGTTCGAGTGCATCGCGGGGCAGAGGGAGAGAGGGAGAGGCCCCGGAGCAGAGAGAGGGGGGGTTGCCGGGGCTGCAGCGAAGCGGTGGCTTTGTTGTGCCCGCCACTACTGGTGCTCATTCATGGGATAGGACGGATAGGATGGGGCGGAGAGTGCAATGACCCCAAATACCCCGAAACAAAACTCGGCATCAGTCGGTCCCAGCAGTGAAGCTTCCAGCCGTCGCGAGTGAGCACAGAGCACAAGTGCAACACAGCCCTGGTCAGAGTGACCGAGCCCACTCGCCAACCCTACTGCTCTGGGATGCTGCGAGTGCCCCCCCCCCCTTCCCCAGTGCTAGTGACGCACGGCCCCCACACGCACACAATCAGCCCCGCCCCCTCGCGGGGCAGCGGAGCCAGCGGGGCACTATCGGCGCGGGGTTGAAGTTGACGCCAAGTCAGCGCTCGACAAGCAGAAGATGTGTGTCCAATCGCAATTGTGCGAGCTGTGGGTGGTGACAACTTATACACATGATTGATGCCCGATGCCCCACCCC